ATATACATATATACATACACATACATACATATACTGTATACACACACACACATATATACATGCCATTTTATACTGTAGGACTTTATTCGTTAAAAAGCTACAGGTTAGGCTACGATGTTCCATCATGTCCTTATTAAACACTGTATATGTACCTTTGATGATTTATATTAGAGTATATATATGTATATATACACATATATATACACATACAAACACACATACATATATATACATACATTATATATATACACACACACATACATACATAAATACTGTATACACTACATACATAAAATAACAAAGAAAAATACTGGTTTCTTTACAAATAAGAATCACATTAGATCTTTCTATTAGATGGATGTAGCATGAATAGAATACAATTGAACTTGCCAAAGTCGAATCCAAAATGGCATTTGAAAATTGTTCAACTTGATAAAAAAAATTAATGGAAAGCACAAAAATTTGGCATGTAAAATAAAATTGACTTGGAAATTAGGGTTAGGCAAAGTAGACTGGGGCAGTATAACTGTAATGTTTTGATACGGATAATATTATAATCTCATATGAAATACACGAAAAACAAAGAAAATTAAATCCCCATTAAGATTGGTTTATATGAAGTAACACATGCAGTAGGCATACTGATATGCACTTATGGATTCATGGGAGAGAATTCTGATTTATTGCTCAAAAGGTGTCAAAAGTTGAATTACATTTTCTTATTATTATAGTGATGTAAATGTTGTGACAATAAAAAAAAAGCAAGTGTGACACTCAGAAAGTGTCCCCATCCCCATAATAGGGGTTGGCTTAGTGTTAAGATATATTTCCCCTTGTTTCACGGGAGAAGTGTCACCTTAATAGAGGTGTCCCCTGAATAGGGGTGTCCCAAAGGAGGAGTTCTACTGTATTTGGGAGGGTACCAAGTATTTACAATGGTGTAAATAACACTTCAGGTTATTGGCAATACAATTACTGTATATGAAGGGGAAAGGTATATGAAGGGGATAAAGTATATGAAGGGGATAAAGTATATGAAGGGGATAAAGTATATGAAGGGGATAAAGTATATGAAGGGGATAAAGTATATGAAGAGGTGAAAGAGTGGAAATTGAGTTGCTTGATATTTAATATGCTGCCTTTCAATCCCAGGGTCCTGGGTTCAATTCCTGTCAGCGTTGCTGGATTTTATCTCGCGGCCAAAGCAACTCCACCCCCTAAGCCTCGCATTGAGATTTGGTTTGTATAAAGTATTGTTTGTTTATGTTCGTCTTGTGAAAGGGATTGTCACCTACTTAACCTACTTAAGGGAGCGGTGAAAATGGTTTCTCTAAGTTTATTTTCATATTTGGTTAATACTGGAATATGTATTTTATGGCGTCATTCCATTTTTCAAGTTCTTTTATGTGTAAAGGGCTTAGAAGCATTGTTTTGCATTAAGCGCTCTACAAGAATAACATTATTATTATTTTTACTTGTAGGACAGTGATATATTTGCTATTGTCGATTCTTGCGCGTGTGCACCAAAATAAAAATAAAAGACAGAAATTAACTCATAAAGCTGGCACTAAATATCCTTGTTTGAATGCCTTTATTCAGTCTTGTACAACAGAATATCTGTTAATAAACATTTTTGTCCAGTTTTTTAATCATATCATCCAAGCAGTTGTTTCCATGGAAAATTTCTGTATATTATTCCACTGCCATGTTCCGTCTAGATCAACAAGAGCGTCCTCAAGCAAGGAAACTGACAAAAAAAGAAGAAAAGTTGCAATTAAAATCTCAGACAATTATTAAGTGGGTATGCATTCATAAATGTTGCCTGTTAAATATAAACATCCTTTTTATCAATACCTGTGATTGGTTGTGATGAATGCAGAGTTTCATTTATACCCAAAAGTTCAGTCATATTTTTAGATTTAATCAAATATACAATAATAATTAGTAATGAAAAATATATTCATAACTACTATAAATATGTTTTTGGAATAGAAAATATTGGCCAGGAATTTAGGAAGCTTTTGACAAATATATTTTCAATTGATAGCAACATGGTATTGATCATACCATAGAGAAATTATGTTTCATTCTTTGGTAATGTTATTAAAAAAATGTAGACCAAATAATAATGAAATGATAACTGATAAAGAATATGAAATGTAATGTTATGTAAATGCTTGTTACTTAATATTTAAATGATACTTACATTTTTAAAATATTTGTGTTTTATCTTAACCTCCGAGCTTCTCTCTCCGATTCTAGAAGAGTTAAAATGTCGCCCTCACGCACTGGCCCCTTGACATTCCTGATGATGGAACGGCTGGATTCATCCAGAAATTCTACTCGTACCTGAGTACACTGACCCTGGGATCCGGTCCTACCAAGGATTCTTGTTACCTGCAAGACAATGTTGGTTAAAATTAGTTTTGTGAACTTAAATCATGAATCATCAAAAATGAAAGATCATCGGTCAACCAAATCATCAAATTCTTTCTAGGGGTGTCGGCTGACTCGTACACATGCCAACTTGTACACTAATTTAGGCGAACTCGTACATCGTACTCGAATGTTCGTTGTAAAAACACTGGTGAAGTGGCAAACAATACATTTTCAGGTATCAAGGGAAAAACATGGGGGTGGGGGGTGGTGAAGAAAGAGGGCAGCCCACATATGACACCCCTAGGGTATGGTATTTATTAGAAGTCTCACGCCTGCAAATTTGTCTTACTTGGCATCCATTAGTGCGTACACTATTAAAATACATACTAATAATATTGTAGAAAACTAAATTATGTTTAATAAAAACAAAATAATACTTTAATCAGTGCTGTGGCAAGCTTGGGCACCGCGGTTTGGGCCGACGCTAATTTAAGTGTTGAAAGTTGAACTCACATTAATGTACATTGTAGAAAACTAAATTATGTTTAATAAAAACAAAATAATACTTTAATCAGTGCTGTGGCAAGCTTGGGCAACGCGGTTTGGGCCGACGCTAATTTAAGTGTTGAAAGTTTAACTCACATTAATGTACATTTAACCCAAATTGATGCGCTAATACAGTTTCGCATCCAGCCCTGAAAACGGTTACCAAATTATTTATAACTTTATACAATTATTCAAGTTCAACACTAACATGTTCTTTGATGATTTGACTTTCATATTTATAGCCATTTATTATTCCACAATTATGGTTTCTAATTAAGTTAATTAACCAATAATTAGGATGGAACTGTATATCGATAAGTACGATCGCTCAACACAATGTAGTTATACATAGTAGTGGGCATGAATGTCATTTTGGCGGCAGAAAACATTCAACAGTTTTCTCCATCTAGGTATGTACGTGACTATTCACCATTGAGAGCACGACACAATGGCACCACCATCATTTTCCGCAGCAATGCTACATTAATAAAAATGCTCTTTTAAATGGTACTGGCTGCAAAGGAATTCCTTGCATTTGAAACTTTTTGTCAAGTACCTAATCTAGGCCTACACCTAGCATATAGGCCGCACTCACTGTGCAGTCTCCTCGCAGCCCATTACATATGTCATTAACTAGGCCTCTACCTTAGGTAGGGCCTAGGCTAGGGCCTACTATTCCTAATCCTAGCTAGGCAAGCTGACTGATGATGCTGGCCTTCCTAGCCTAGATTTGTAAGCTTAATATTTCCTATACGCTTTAGTACACATATTTCTTCATCTGAGCAGCAATAGTGTATGCATTACAGATAAAACTAATACATAACATAACATAAATAAATGTGTTAAATACATACTTTAGCGAGTTTTACTGGCTTATCCATTTTGCCTCACGATTGAAATCACGTTTCGCGACGAAGAGGCCGGACTCGACGTAAAAATCTTGTAAGTAAAATTTAGTAAAATTTTATTTACATAAATACATATTAAGTCAGAAACCTAAAAATAATAATAATATTACATAGTTTATTTAAATAATTTAGTATTATAATAATTATTATAGTTGTAAGAATATCCATTGACATATTTTGTTTAATTCAAAAGCCTGACATTCTTCCCATCATGCATAAGACCAGGTATTTTAGAACAAAATGGCTACTGCTACGCCAATTATTCAGAAGCTTCGTAATTTTTTAGCAGGGGTTAGGCCTAGTTTATAATATTTGCTTTTATAACTCTCTTTACTACTTTAATATTTATGTTTCTTGCTGTAGCTTATGTCAATTAATGTTTTAAAACATGCTTTTTTAGTGTATATGCTAAGCACATAATCATATCGCTCGGCCCCGGGAGGGTTGGTGGTGGTGCCGGTGGTGTGCTGCTAGCTAGGCTAGGCTAGAGAATAGTAGGCTAGCAATGAATGATGATGTTGCAGTGGGATGGCGTCGGCTGTGCTTCGTCAAGCGTGTCCAGCGTAGGCCGAGATTGTGGGTTAGAGGCCTAGTATTGCGTATATATATTAGTATAGTGTAGTACAGTACTAGTTTTGACGCTAATTCGCACCACGGCACCTAACAATACATCTAATTCTTAATTTTCTTATCCATATGTTTTTCTCATACCATAGAATCATAACAAATTAACAACATATCATTATAAAACATGTTTACATGATTCAACTTCTCACAAAGTTCCTTTTTCAACATAAAAATACTGTTATTTAAATACCTTTATAAGACGAATGGATACCTTGCCTTGTTCGAAGTTAGTATTGACGTTGTCTTTACCCAATACCGCTCGTATATGCTATTCGTGTAGGAAATCTTTAACCTAGCCTAGATTGATTGGTTTCAAAAAAAGAAATTAACTTTTTATTTTTTCATTATTTTTTTTAGAGGAACCTTCAGAAAACGTTGCAACTTCGTTATAGACCAGAACAGACAACAAGGTAAAAGTTATATTGAATGTACAGTACACTTATTTTTTTCAATGTACACCTATTTATCCATAAAAACCATTCAAAGATTTAAGTAATGCAAACTGCCATCCCATGCTAGTTAATTATAGCATCTTATATGGGTTAGCCGGCTTCAGAAACAGGTAGGTACTCAGCATACAAATGAAAACAGAAGAAATCATACTGTACACCATAAAAGGTCCAACTGTAAATTTTTTTAATTGTGCGGATGATACCTCAATATCCACGTCAAATTTGAGTGGAAAATCGCTAAGAAAATAGGGGCGCAGAATCGTATTACTGCATAATACATGTTAATATATTAATATTTAGGCCAAATTAGGCTAAAATTCTCAAAAATAAGTGAATTTGACATAAATGTGAATAAGGGTCATATAAATTTATTTTAACAAAGCTATACCGACCAACAACTGTAATTAATAGCAATTCACTACAATTTAAAAAAAAAACATAGAGGGCGCTGTATTTTACGGTTATTATCTAGAGGGCGCTATATACATTTTTTGTGTCATGCACATAGAGCTATTAAACATCTAGAGTGCTGACAAGATGGCGAAGCAATGCAGAGTTATGCATGTGTACCATCCAAGATGGCCATCGTAGTAAAGTGCCACCTTCAGGCTTAGTAGAGATATTATCACCATAAATAAGCCCTCTGACTGACTATTATTTCATTAATGATAAACGAGTAATGGTTATAACAAATTATTAAACTATCGTAGCCAAAACGAGGCCAAGTGGAGCATCAAATAAAGTACTGTACCAAGGAATGAAAACTAAAATCGTGTACATTACACACACCACCGCAACGCTCGAGTTTCAAACATACGGGTAACTAGCTGTACTGAACTTTCT